CCTCTCTAAATGCCCTTTGCCTCCTAGTTCTTTCCTCTATTTCCTTTTACTTTCCTCTTGTCCCACTATCATGCTCAGCCTTCATTTGAGTTTCAGTAATTCCTTTCTGGTACATTGCCCTTGATCAAGCCCTACCAGTCATGTACATATAAATAGAAACCTAGCACTCCCTTGCAATTTAACAATTAACAGTTTATTTCATGTGAATATTAACAACCGTTTTCTCCTTGAGAAAGAGTCTTAATGGAAACGAATGCAGCAGGCCTCAGCTTTCTGAGCTATTAATGGGCTTCTTTATCTTTTATATTTCCTTCTAGTCCCCAGTTTTTTTTGTTGATAATTCAACGCATCCACATGAGACATCTTCATATTGTGTGATTAGAATGGTACTGGCTGGTGCTCTATTAAGAGGAAAAGAAGCTCAGAAACCACTAAGAGTTCCATGGATACCCGATAGGTCCTAACTTCTCTCTCCTTTGCAGTTTTCATTTGCAGCCTAAGCAGTAGGTAACTCAGAAGTCCCTTGCAAATGCATTAACTCATAATGTGAATGTTTTCAAAGGTACACTTACTCTAAATGCCACTAAGTACTTTCAGAAAACTGACACTTTTACAAGGAATTTAGAGGAGGTCAGTGTGCTAAGTGCCCAAGAGACATTTTTTAAATGAATTTCAAATTTGGTAAATTTTGTAAATACTATTGTTACTTATGTCCAACACATTAAATCAATCCAAACATGTCTTCATATAATTTCTCTTATATTTTAAATCAAAATTGTGCCTTGTAGGGATGTTACAAGTATTTAATAAACATTTATTGATTAGTTTTTATTTGCGAAACACATAAAACTATATTTAATGAGTAAAAAAACCCTTTCAGTTAAGATTTAAAAACATATCAGTATTTATTGATGTTTGAACACCAATTATAAATGCCTTAAAACTAAAAACATGGTCCTTGAGTCAATTTCAAAAGACCCCCTTCAGTCAGCGAACTGTTTCTTAGTTTCCAAAGCACTGATCTTTATGGAAGGAGATTGCCATCTGGAGTTGACGGTGGCTTAGAATCATTCACCGTCATGTTAGCAGCAGAGTGCTAACGTAAGCTCTGAGCAACCAGGGTTCCCCATAAGTGCCTTAAAGGCATTCTACTTTATATATTTAGGTGATTTACACAACCATTCTGTGTTCATTTGTTTGCATTTGGTTAAGGATCTAAACCCCTGACTATAAGATATTTACAATTTAGTTGAAAACTCAAAGAATGCACATAGCTAACAATAATAGCAACACATAATAACAATAACAGTGATAAACTTTTCTTATATGCTCTTTGCAGTGCACAACTAACAAAGCTGGACACCTTTAATTCTTAGAAGCGTCCTACAATGATCGTTGGCAGTTGCGGGCCTCGTGTAGGAGGCATGTGTGACGAGACATCATGTGATGACAGTGAGACACAGAGAGGTTAAGTAACTTGCTCTGGGTGACATAATAGAAACTGGAATTTCAACCTCTCTCCTTAAAGCCCTCGCATTTAACCATGACCCTTTGGTGAAATGCAAACAAGCGCAGGGCACACCAAACCAAACCTAACCCACTACCAT